TTGTAAGAAAGTAGAACGTGTACAAAATTTGACATTGCGTTACTTGTAATAATGTTAAAATGTTTATAATAATTTATATTATTAGTAATATTATATTTTAGCAATGTGATAAAAATTTTACAAATACACAGATTTCTGTATGAAAATATGTGCAAAACAATTTATCATTAGCCGAATAAATTATAACTAATTGTTTAAAAAGACAGAACATGCGTAATTATCTGACCTATATTACAGATATTATCTGTATTACAAATATGATGTGCATAATGACAACAATTTACGGTTTATTCGAATAACAAAATATGTCTCATCAATCACGAAAATTTATGATATAAATGCAAGTATACAAAATATATTTTTTTAAATGTCGAAATAAAATGTTTATAAGATAATTCTTATCGTAGTATAAAAATTTATTAAATATTTTTATCTTATCTATTATATGTATGATATATTCATCATTGTTTTCCATGAATTTTGTTGCGTGGTAAAGGAAGAAAATCGAGCCATATTTCTCTCATTTGGGTGCTAATAATACAACGGCAAATTATCTGCTTTAAATATGCAATGATTCGTGCAGATGCACATATGACGATGATACTCGATGGTCAATTGCGACTGACGGCCCCTCAGAAAAATTCTGAAATTATTGAGGGGAAAAAATCGGAAGGGACAAAAACTATTAATTGTAAGTGCGACGTTACGCAAAATTATACACACATTATTTTACTGAAATTCAAGCAAATTTGCTTTTTACATAACAAAAAGTGTTTTCGATATTTCTTAACTGCTATAATATACTGATGAATCAAATAAAAAAAAAAGGAAATTTTATGATTATTTTATATTTTGTATTATATTTGGAAAAATATGTCATATTACAATGTGTGTTTTGATAACTAGTGATTTACGAATAACTTCAAATTTTTTTCTATAATTATTTAAAAATGGTCGACTTGCTCATTGCATCGCCAACAACACTGATAAGTACGAACCCGAGGCATTCATGATCTAAAACAATATAGCTCCTTTTAGAACAAAAAAATCAATATTTTTAATTAAAATATTATAAACATATGTGTGCTCTTTCTCTTCATCTTTCCCTTTGTCTCTAAAAGTGAAAAATTCACATATAAATCTTACGCTTGTAAAAGCTTGTAAAGAGAGGTCCATCATCTTTCCCACAGTTAATGTCAATTGTTTCTGCGATCTTAACATGATAAATAACAGAAGACGACTTTCTGTAGATTTTAAATCGTACCATTCACAATTATACGCCGCGACACCAATTTCTTTGCTCTACGAAAACGGAAATGATATTTCTAATATTCATAGTATTCTTTACAATTTTTTTTGCAAGAAAGAATTTTTTTTAAAAGAAAGAATTATTTACTTTTATCATTGTTATAAATATAATATTATCTTGTCACTAACCTTGTTGTTCAAATATTCGCCAGCATAGCAAAAGATAAATGCTTCGAGATTTGTTATAGTGTAAAAGAGAAATGATTTCATTATTTGTTCTACCGCATTGGGGCTGCCGATTGCCTACAATATGATGTAGAAATAATGAGCGAGAAGTTATTGAATATAAATCTATAGTATGATATGCAATAAAAGGTGAGCGAATTTATAAGCAAGAAAAATTTAAACACTATATAATATACAATAATATACAATAGAATGTTAAAAGTAAATTAATATTAATAGTATCAGATCAATTATTGGAAGAATTGCAATTACTTCTTCATTCTACGATATTACTCACTGTTACAATAACGAAACCTAGCGAACATATCATTATCGTATTTGATACAAACTGAAGCAACGCGATATATGAATAAAGATTTTCAACGTGTTTTATAAAATTTATGATTTTTTGATGTTTTTGAACAATTTTACTCGTAGTCGTAGCGATCGATTTATGTTTGCTCTTGTTCGTACGAGGGATCAGCTGCGTTAACCAGTAACGCATTATTTCGATTTGGCCAGCTGCATGTAAAATCTAAAAATAATGAAAATAATGATGATAAAGGTATTATTACGAGTGAAAGTAATTAATTAATTCATTATTAATTACTATTCAAATAATTGATATTCAATCAACGAATCAAGTAAACACACTTATGCCAAATAATATCATCAAAACAGAAAATAAATTTTTCATAAGCCATATAATTGCTTTTAATTGGTTTTAATGTTTCCTCTTTTCAAGGTGACATTTTAGAACGCATATTAATATTTTTAGATACAGCCTATTTAGTAATGCAAAGAATTTTTAACTTACCAACGTTAATAGTAAAGAGTTTGTTATACCTGCCGCCCATCCGCAAAGAACCATATGCAAAAATTCCGTAATTAAAACACATCTGTACATGGATTGCGTGTTTATGTTGAAAGAAAGTTCTAGCTTATTGATCAAAGGTAGTTCTCTCGAGGTGTCAGTGACATCGGCGTCGGCCAGGATAATACCGATGCAATATGTAACAATTGTTACTGTGTGAAGGCTGACAATCGCATTTGTAATACGATCCGACATTTTCGCTTTGCGTGTTGACTCGCGCAGGTTGACGTCATTATTAGCGCAATCGTTCCAATCTTCCGTCATCATCGCCAAGATTTTGATGAGTTTTCTGTGGATAATCATATTCATTGAGAGATCATGCTATTGTAAGATAATGTTTATTTCTTGTGTAAATTTATCTCTTTAAAAATTTGTTATTTATAGATATTGCAAATTAATTTTCAATACTTTCTATTCACCAACAATCTTTGCTCATAGATTAATAATTGGATAAATACATAATAGAAACATAATATAACATAACAACATTGACAGCAAATGACAGCAAACGGCAATATTGCCTTTGTATCTTTAAAAGCGCTTTACGTTATTATCTTACCTGAAACTGGCCGAAACGTCATTGATAATATTTTAAAAAAGAATGTTTTTATGACTACATAATATATTATTTACAATTCTCTACTTTTGAGAAGAAAGCTATTAAACAAATATAGATCTTCTGCAAAATTATGATTTTGAAATTACACTGTCTTTCACTAGAGCTTTGACATGAGTGCATATTGATCGTGATATTTTTGCTGAATGTTTCTAACATTACCTTAATTTAATTCTATTACTTACCGCTGATTTAACCAAAACACGAGGAACTTGATAATTATTTTGGAATGTGCAAGGAAGCTGGACAGACAGTCCATTAAGTCCAAAATTTCGGCAGAATGCACATGCGTCAGGAAGTAACGGCAGTGCCAGAACAGGATAACTGTCATCGAAACGACCCAAAATATTCTGCAAAGCAGAACATATGGTGTGCCTGGCCAGATACCACACAAAATGAGCATAAACTTCAACGTGCGGTTAAGCGTACTCTTACGAGGCATTATTTCTTATTTCTCTCTGTTCTCCGTTGTGCACACGGGTGAATCCATCAAGGTGCGTAAAACAGAACAAAAATCCTCGGGTAGATAAAAGAAATATGTTTTGATTAAATGCACGTGCGTTTCGATAATGTATTCTCTGCGTGTGTTGCAGTATATAGAATATCTGCGCGAAAGAAAACTCTGACAGCTTCTAAGAAATCTGAGGAGACTTTATCTTCGACAATTGATCGCAACTGGAATTGCTCATTAAATATTTTTATCGTATACCGAGTATACAGAATATCGTACCGCGAATACATTTCGTCGTGGTTTGTCATGAATTTAATGTAAGAAACGGAAAGATAGGTGAAGTTCTTTTCCCGTCTCTCTTGTGCCGCTGGTAATACAATCACGCATTGTCCACTTTAAATATGCAACATTACGTGCGGACATAGATATGGCGATGTATGTCCGATGATCAGTCGTGACCACGGTGCTCTAGGAGACTTTTAATCTCTCTGAAGGATGAATAACCGAGCAACTATGTGCAACACTATGAAACTTTACATTGCTTTGCTTGTAAGTTAAAAGTGAATTTGTGTTGTAGAAATATTAATGAAATAGTTATGAAACACAATTAGGATTAACAAATACATGAATTTGAATCTGAAAATGTATACGTGAAATAATATATTACATTTGAATTAGAATTTACGTAAATGAATATTTAAACGGATTAAATATTACGTCATCGTTAATGTTGTATTAAAAACTTTTTATCGTATTTTTCTTAAATAATTTTAACCTTATATCTTTTTAAGTTACGTGAGAATTATATGTATTCAATTTGATTGTTTTGTGTCCAATACTTTCAATTATTTCAGTGAAAATACGCAAATGTGTGTAAAACTAGACATGAAAAATACAAAAGTCACATGAAATTAATATATTTTTCGTTAATTTAACTTTAATTTTTGACTAAAAACGTTATCGATTCGACACAGCATGACATAATTATCTCACAATTTCTGGGAAACAGGGATAATACCGATGACCAATCGGTCCTTTAGAAAAGTTCTAAAATCTAGAAGGGACAAAAATTGAAAGGAACAAAAACTACTAACAATAAGTACGCTGCTATGGAAATTTATACACATACTGTTTTACTTTATTAGAATTCAATCAAATTTGTTCTTTACATAGCAAAAATATTTTTTTTAACTATATATAGTATACCGATGATTTAAACAAAAGAAAGAAAAAAATTTTGTAATTATTTTGTATTATATTTGGAAAAATATGTTACATTACAATGTGTGTTTGGTAACTATTTTGAACAACTTTAAATTTGCTATAATTATTTAAAAATTAATTAAGTACTAGAATTGACCGTGAAGTCAACAAACAATTAAAATGCAAAAACGTCAACACGGTACAAGGCGGATCTTAGTTAATATTAAAATATGTGAATCTTACAATTCTTAGTTCAGGCGAACTGCGCGAATTAAGTTATTCTCACAGGATTTTAAACGATGCTCAATGAGCATCGAATTATTAGATTGCTTTGGCAATTTAATTGTGATATTGACGTATAGTAAACTATTCAGTTTGGAGCTGCATTTTAAAGACCGACGATTATGCGACGCACAATTTGCCTGAATTGAGAATTGTATAATACTTATTATAATATTATTATAATATTACTTACTACACTTATTATAATATTACTAATTATAAGCTAGATCCATTTTGTACCGTGTTCAAGTCTTCGCATATAATTATATTTAAAAATTGTCGACCTGCTCATTGCATCGCCAACAGCACTGATAAGTATGAGCCTGAAGCATTCATGATCTAAAACAATACGGCCCCTTTTATTTTAGAAAAAAAAAGATATTTTTAATTAAAATATTATATAAAAATATACAGCTTTTTGTGTCTTTATCTTTCTCCTTTTTTTCAAAGTAAAAAGTTTACGCGTAAATCTTACACTGGTAAAAGCTTGTAAAGAGAGGTCCATCATTCTTCCTGCTGTTAGTGTCAATCGCTTCTGCGATCTTAATATGATAAATAACAGACGACGACTTTCTGTAGATTTTAAATCGTACCATTTACAGTTATACGCCGCGACGCCAATTTCTTCGCTCTACGAAAATGGAAATGACAATTTCTAATATTTATAATATTTTTTACAATTTTTTTACGATATAAAAGAAACAATTATCTACTTTTATCATTGTTATGAATATTATCTTGTCACTAACCTTGCTGCTTAAATATTCTCCAGCATAGCAAAAGATAAATGCTTCGAGATTTGTTATAGTGTAAAAGAGAAAGGATTTTATTATTACGTCTACCACATTGGGGCCGCCGATTGCCTGCAAAAGTAATGTGGGAGAAGTTTCTAAATATGAACCTACATATAAATCTTTAGTATGATGTGCAATGAAAAGTGAGCAAATTTATAAACGAGAAAAAATTTTAACATTGATATAATATACAATAGAATAGAATTTTAAAACGTAAAATTATATTAATAATATTATATCTCAATTATTGCAGGAAGAATTGCAATTACTAATTCTTTATTTTATGGTATTACTCACTGTTACAATAGCGAAAGCTAACAAACATATCATTATCGTATTTGATACAAACTGAAGCAATGCGATATACGTATAAAGACTCTCAATATTTTTTATGAAACTGATAACTTTCTGATGTTTCTGAACAATTTTACTAGTAGTCGCAGCGATCGATTTATGTTTGTCCTCATTCGTACAAAGCTGCGTCAGCCAGTGACACATTATTTCGAGTTGGCCAGCTGAATGTAAAATCTGAAAATAAATATTATTATAAATGGAATTAATTATAATTTGCGAATACTCGATATTCAACTAGTGAATCAACGCACAATATGCCAAATAATATATCGTCAAAACAAAAATAAAATTATATCTAAGGTATATGTATATAATTTCAATTTTAAGTTGACCTTTAAGAACGCATACTAATATTTTAATTAGTTACAGCCTATTTAGTAGTATGAAGAATTCTTAACTTACCAATGTTAATAATAATGAGTTTGTTATACCAGCTACCCACCCGCAAAGAATCAAATGTAAAAATTCCGTGCTTAAAAAGATTCTGTACATGGATTGCGTGTTTATGTTAAAAGGCACATTTATCTTATCGATAAAGGGTTCTTTTGTGGTAGTGACATCGGCATCTGCCAAGATAATCGGCAGGCAATATCCAAAAATTGACATCGTGTGAAGGGCGGCGATCGCATTTGTAATACGATCTGACATTTTCGCTTTGCGTGTTGTCTCGCGCAGGTTGACGTCACTATCAACGCAATCATTCCAATCTTCCGCCATTACCGTTAAGATTTCGACGAATTTTCTGTGGATAATTGTATTCATTAATCGTGCTATTGCACAAAAATTGTAATTCATTATATAAATTTATTTCTTTAAAGATTCATTATTTTTGGATATTGCAAACTAATTGTCAATGCTTTTTATTTATCAAAGATCTTTGTTCATAGACATGTTCATACAATCGATATTATCAATATAATAAATACAACATATACATTTATTAACATAACATATACATATATTAACATATTAACAGCAAACGAAAAATATTGCAATAATATTTTTGAAAACGCTGTACGATATTTTCTGAAACTGGCCATGTACATTATTTAAAAAGAAAATGTTTTTATGGATACATAAAATATTATTATAATATATTATTTACAATTCTACTTTTGAGAAGAAATTAACTATTGAACAAATAAATCTTCTGTAATATTATGATTTTAGAATTACAATATGTTTCACTGCAGCTTTATCATGAGTGCATATCAATCAGAATATTTTTGCTGAATGTTTCTAATATTATCTATAAATTAAATTCTGTTACTTACCGCTCATTTAACCAAAACACGACGCACTTGGTAATTACCTTGGTATATGCAAGAATGCTGGACAGACATTCCATTAAATCCAAAATTTTGGCAGTTTGCACATGCGTCAGGAACCAACGGTAATGCCAGAACAGAACAACTGTCATTGAAACGATCCAATATATTCTGCAAAGCAGAACATATGGTGTGCCTGGCCAGATACCAGACAAAGTGAGTAAAACCTTCAATGTAAAGTTAAACGTACTTTTACGAGCCATAATTTCTTATTTGTCTCTGTTCTCCGTTGCGCACGCGAATAAATTCAGGATTATAATAGAGAAAAAACCCTCGAATAGGTAAAAGAAATATGTTCTGATCAAACGCACAATGATAAGTTCTCTGCGTGTATTGCAGTATAGAATACTTGCGTGCAAGAAAACTCCGGCAGTTTCTAAGAAATTAGTAGGGTCGATCTTGAACAACTGATCGCAATTTGAATTGCTCATTAAATATTTTTATCATGCCGGGAACGTACATCATGAATACATTTTATCGTAGTTTTTCATGAATTTAATGTAAAAAACGGAAAGTTAAGAGAGGTTTTTTTCTTGTACCGCTGGTAATGCAATCGCGAATTGTCCGCTTTAAATATGCAACGTTACGTGCGGATATAGATACGGTGATATATGTCCGATCAGTCGTGACCGCGGTGCTTTAGAAAATTTTTTATCTCTGGAAGATGAACATCCGGGCAACTGTGTACTCTACAAAACTTTACATTGCTTTGCTTATAATAGCTGAAAGTGAATTTGTGTTATAAAAATATATTGATGAGATACTTATGAAATACAATTAAAATTAAATGTATGGATTTGTATTGGACAATGTATACATGAAATAATATACTACATTTGAATTAGAATTTACGTAAATATTTAAATGGTACTGATAAGTATGAATCTGAGGCATTCATGATTTAAAATTGTAAAACGATATGCCCGTTTTATAATATTTTAGAAAGAAGTCAATATGTTAGAATATTATATAAAAATATATATGTGTTCTCTGTTCTTCATCTTTCTCTTTTCTTTAAAAATGAAAAATTTACATATTTAAATATAAAAATTTGAATACGTGAATATTCAAATGGATTGATTAAATATTATATCATCGTTAATGTAGTATTAAACCTATATCTATCTATTATTTTTTGTAAATCATTTTAGCGTTATTCTTTTATAACGAGAGTGCTATAGGTACATATAATATTAAGTATTTGATCTAAATATATATAAATTATTTTATTTAATATTTTCAGATACTTAACTAAAAATACGCAAATGTTTATGAAGCTGGACATGGAAAATACAAAAGTCAGATTGATATTTTTTGTTCATTTAATTGTGATTATTGACTAAACACGTTATCAATGACACATTATAATGTGATTATCTCACAATTCCTGGGAAGCAGAATTGTGAGTCTTGGAAGATTTATGAATGACTTGTGAGTCTGGGAAGAGAATTGTCTGCTTTAAATATGCAATGATTCGTGCAGAGTCAGATAATAATACTTGATGGACATGACTGACAGCCCCTCAGGAAAATTCTAAAATATAGAGGGGAAAAAGATCGGAAAGATCAAAACTGCTAAGTGCGACGCTACGGAAAATTATACACACATTATTTTACTTACTAGAATTTAAGCAAATTTGCTTTTTACAGGCAAAAAGAATTTTTCTTATCTATAATAATATACCGATGATTTAAACGTAAAAAAAAGAAATTTTGTGATTATTTTGTATTATATTTGGAAAAATATGTCACATTGTGTGTTTGGTAACTATTTACTTCATAAGACATAACTAATAATTCGAAATTTGCTATAATTATTTAAAAATTGTCGATCTGCTCATTGCATTGCCAACAACATTGATAAGTGATGAACCTGAAATATTCATAAGCTAAAATAATACAGTCTTTATTTTAGAAAAAAATTAAAATTTATAATTAGAATATTATATAAATATATGTACGCTTTCTCTGTTTTTTATCTTTCTCTTTGTCTTTAAAGGTGAAAAGTTTACATATCAATCTTACGCTGGTAAAAGCTTGTAAAGAAAGGTCCTTTATTTTTTCTACTGTCAATGTCAATTATTTCTGCGATCTCATTATGATAAATAACATAAGACTTTCTGTAGATTTTAAATTGTATCATTTACAGCTACAAGCTGCGACACCAATTTCTTTGCTCTACGAAAATGGAAATAATTTCTAATATTCATAGTATTCTTTACAACGTTTTTGCAAGAGTAAAGAAGCGATTATCTACTTTTATCATTCTTATGAATATTGTCATTAACCTTGTTGCTCAAATATTCTCCAGCATAGCCAAAGATAAATGCTTCGAGATTTGTTATAATGTAAAACATAAATGATTTCATTATTATATCTGCTGCATTGGGAGTGCCGATTGCCTGCAACACGGCACCTGCAGAAATAATGTGCGACAAATTATTAAATATAAGCCTATATATAAATCTTTAGTATGATCTTTAGTAAGCAATAAAAAGTGAGCGAATATATAAACAAGAAAAAATTTTAACATTGATATACAATAGAATAGAATTGTAAAACGTAAAATTATATTAATGATATTATATCTCAATTATTGCAGGAAGAATTGCAATATTTCTATATTAACGGTATTACTTACTGTTACGATAACAAAAGAGAGCGAACATGTCATTATTATATTTGCTATAAACTGAATCAATACAATATACGAATAAAGACTGCCAATGGATTTTGCAAAATTGATGATTTTTTGATGTTTGTGAATAATTTTAGTCGTACTCGCAACAATCGATTTCTGTTCGTCCTCGTTCGATAGAAGCTGCGTCAGCCAGTGACACATAATTTCGATTTGGCCAGCTGTATATAAGACCTGAAAATAAAGATATTACTAGTGAAATTAATTAATTAATTTGTAATTAATTAACTATTTAAATATTTGATATTCAACCAATGAATCGCTCCAAATAAACACTCAATGTGCCAGATAATATCGTCAAAACGAAAATCAAATTTTTGTTGAGCTATATAATTGTTTTTAATTTTTGCACCTTTTAAATATTTCAGAACGCATATTAATATTTTAATTAGACACAGCTTATTTAGTAGTGTAAAGAATTCTTAACGTACTAATGATAATAATAAAGCGTTTGTTATACCAGCTATTCCACAAAAAACACATAATACGCATTCACCAGATAAAATCATTTTGTACCTTGATTGCGTCGAAAGGAACATCTATCCTATCGAGAAAGGGTAGTTGTTCTTTCGGGATAGTAGTGACATCGGGATTTAGCATGACAATCGGCAAGATACATCCAACAATTGTCATCGCATGAAGGATGATGATCACATTTGTAACACGATGCGACACTTTCGCTTTTCGTGTTGTCTCACGCATGTCGACGTCACTATTAGCGCAATTATTCCAATCTTCCGCCATCACTGCCAAGATTCCGACGAGTTTTCTGTAGATAATCGTATTCATTAATCGTGGCGATCGTGCTATCGCAAAATAATTTTAATTTTTTATGTAAATTTATTTCTTTAAAAATTCGTTATCTTTGGATATTGCAAACTAATTGTCAATGCTTTTTATTCACCAGCAATCTTTGTTCATTGATTATTAATATAACGAATACAACATATATGTATTGACAATATTGACAACAAATGAAAAATATTGCAACTGTATTTTTGAAGACGCTGTACAATATTTGTCTTACCTGAAACTGGACGGAACATCAGTTTACATTATTTTAAAAAAGAATTTTAAAAATGGTTTTTTCTGGCTATATGATGCATTATTTACAAGTCTACTTTTGAGAAGGAAACTATTGAACAAATAAATCTTCTACAAGACTATAAAATTCTAGAATTACAGTATCTTTCATTACAGCTTTATTATGAGTGCATATTGATCGGAATATTTTTGTCGAATGTTTCTAATATTATATATTAATTAAATTCTGTTACTTATTTAACCAAAACACGATGCACTTGCTATTTACTTTGATATGTGCAAGGCAGTTAGATACACAATTCATTATGTTAAAAATTACGACAGATGCATTAGGAAATAATAGTAATGACATAATAGGATAGCTCCCATTGAAACGACCCAAAATAATTTGAAAAGCATAATAAACGGTGTGCCTGGCCAGATACCACACAAAGTGAGCATAAACTTCAACGGACGGTTAAGCGTATCTCGAGCCATAATTTCTTATTTGTCTCTGTTCTCTGTTGTGCACGCGAATAAATCAAAGTATGCATATAACAGAGCAAAAATACTCGGATAGATAAGAGAAATATGTTCCGATCAAACACACTTTCGATGACGTGTTCTCTGCGTGTATTGCAGTATGTAAAATATCTGCGTGAAAGAAAACTCTGGCAGTTTCTAAGAAATCAGCAGGCTCAACCCTCGACAATTGATCGCAATTGGAATTGAATTGCTCATTAAATATTTTTACCATGCCGAGAGCATAGACCGTGAATACATTTTGTCGTGGTTTTTCATGAATTTAATGTAAGAAACGGAAAGATAAGAGAAGTTTTTTTCCCCGTCGCTCTTGTGCCGCTGACAATTTAGTCGCGAATTGTCCGCTTTAAATATGCAACGTTTCGTGCGAACGTAGATATGATGATGTATCCGATGGCCAGTCGTGACCACGGTGCTCTAGGAAAGTTTTAATCTCTGGAGGATAAACAGTCGGGCAACTATGTGCAACACTATGAAACTTTACATTGCTTTGCTTGTAATAGCTAAAGGTATGAATTTGTGTTGTTGAAATATTGATGAAATACTTATGAAACATAATTAAGATTAACATATGCATGAATTTGTATCTGAAAATGTATACGTGAAATAATATATTACATTTGAATTAGAAATTACGTAAATGAATATTTAAACGGATTAAATAAAACGTCATCGTTAACGTTGTATTAAAACGTTCTATCGTATTTTTCGATTAAAATAATTTTAACGTTATCTTTTTAATGAAAGTTATATATATTTATTAATTTTATTAATATATATATATATATATATTTAATTATTTGAGTGTTTCATCCAATATTTTCAGTTATTTCACTGTAAAAACACGCAAATGTGGGTAAAACTGGACATGGAAAATACAAAAGTCACATGAAATTGATATATTTTTTGTTAATTTAATTTTGATTATTGGCTAAAAACATTATCGATATGACACAGTATACCATGATTATCTCACAATTCCTGGAAAACAGGGATCTATTAAGGTATTCTCATAATATAATGAATGATTTATTTTTTTTATACTCTTCTCTAAATCACTACTATTTTAGAATATCTAATTACTACTATTTCAGGTCATGAAAATATGTTGCACTATATGCATGTTTCTATTACTAGTGAAGAGCTAGTATATTTACACGATATATACTTCACGACTACGATTGTATAAAAACCTTCAAATATACGACGTATTTATTGCATAGCCAGCAATACCGACAAATATGATCCCGAGGCTTTCATGATCTATAATAAAGTATGAACTTTTTTGTATTAGAAGTAAATATTTTAGAAGGTTATAATTTTGTCGTTAAGAAAAATATGTTTTGAATATTGCTATAAAAAGTTTACAAACTTAACGGATTGGTGTAAAAGAATTTACATAGAAAAAAATGTAAATTTTATGTAGAAAGTATCTTGATACAAATATTATGTATACAATTATTGTCCAAAGTTATTTTGTGTGCTGCGTATGAGTCTTACACTTGTAAAAGATTCTAAGGAGAGATCCATTATTTTTCCCACTGTAAGTGTCAATTGCTTTTGCGCTCTCAATATCACGAATATTAAATTACGGCTGTTTTCAGGCTTCATTTCGTACCAAGCGGAATTGTACGCCGCAGTTCCGATAGCTTTACTCTAGAAAGAGATGGAGATAGTTAGGGGGATTGCCTATACTGCATTACCACTTCTTTTTCCGACAGACCCTACATAATCGTTATTGATTATCGTCATAAGTATCGCCCCGTGTGTCTAACCTTGTTTTTCAAGTATTCACCCGCGTAGCAAAATATAAATGCTTCGAGGTTCGTCACGGTGTAAAATAAAAGGGACCGCACTATGTGCTCCGTCGCGTCGGGACTGCCAATTGCCTGCAATATAGAAGCAGCAATTATTGAACGTATTTCAAAAATTGTAAATAGACTGTATAAACACTGTGTTACTATAATGTATATATGAGTTGTAAAAAATTTTAATTTATTTTGTAATAAAAATGTAGGGTAAATCTTATAAGAAGCAATCTTCATTATTATGCATAAACGCTTAATGTATTAATGAAAATTTTCACTTGCCGTTACGATAAGAAACCCCAAGGAACAAATCAGCACAGTGTTCGACGTGAACTGCACTAACGCGATGTATGTATATAAATCCTCAATGTACTCCGAAAAGTAAATGATTCTTTGATGCTTGCGAATAATTCTGTTCGTCGTGACGGCGACAGATTCGGATCTTTCTTCACTTTCTCGCGGTACGAGCTCGCTTAACCAACAGCGCAGAATATCCATCTGGCCACCTACGTGAAAAGTCTAGAAATAAAATTCACACGTTCTATCTATCGGTCAAAATTTCAAAATGATATATTTAAACAGTGAGGGGAAAAAATATTGTTTTGAAACGATATTAATTGGCAATTGTTTTTATAATTACTAATTTAATTGTACTTGTGACAAGTGCATTTCGCACGCGTTGCAACTCACTTACCAAAGTTAAGAGCAAGGCGTTCAGTAGACCCGTTCCACAGCCCGACATGATGAGGTGCACGAATTGCATGCTCAGCAGCATTTTGTACATGCGTTTTGTATTTATGTCGACAGGAAGCTCCACTTTTAAGAGAAGAGGCAATTCGGACTGGTCGGTGACGTCGACGTCGGCCAGAAGGATGCCAATACTGTACGCGACGATGGTTAACGTGTGAAGAGTGAACATCGCGTTGGTGATACGGCCCGCTAATCTAGCTTTGCACACCGTTTCGCGCATATTGACGTTGCTGCCAGCGCAATCGTTCCAGTCGTCTGTCATCATCGTCAAGATCTCGCTGAATTTTCTACGAATTATTTGAGTCACGTCGATTATTCTACCATGGCTATGGGAAAAATGCAAGACGCAGAAGTTTGTATATCCAGAGAAGTATATTGTATAAAATATTATTATATAATTATATTAACGAATTCTTTTTTAGATTCTAATTTTTTTAAAATTCTTATCTTTAAGAAATTCTTAATTTCTTTAATTTTCTTATACATTCGGGCGAAGTAGAATATATACGTAAATATGCATTTACGAAAAATTAAGAAAGGAGATAACTATTCGTGGACTATTAATAATTTCATTTATTTTATTTTCAAATTATTTGTATATTACGTAGTGTTACTCACCGTTCATTCAGCCAGAATATAACCAACTTAATCGTAAATTTTACTTGCGTCAGAAAACTACTAAAACAGTCCATCAGGTCGAAAAGATCGTTAGTATGCAAATGCATTAAAAGATAACGGTAGTGGCAAATTTCGTCTGTTGCTAACGCGATAATCCAATACATCCTGCAGATTATAACACACGATGTGCCTGGCCATATACCGCACAGAGTCAGCATTAATTTTAACGTGCGATTAATTGTGCTTTTACGCGTCATAGTCCCTTAATTCTCTTCGCTCTCGTTATTCACGCGAGGGAAAGCATCGATCTCTGCGCAACGGGGCAAACTTTTTTTTTTTTAATCAAAAAAGTAAAAGAGGAACTGCGTTCTCTCTTTCTCTATCTTTCTCTCTTTGTCACTCGTCAATGTATTCGCAGGATGTGTATTCTATAGAATAACTGTATGAAGACTGGGAGATCCTATACGAGGTCATCAAATAGACGCTCCCTTGCCATCATCGGCCAATGGGAATATCTCATTAAATATTTTTATCGTGCCGCATGCAGCCCTCGCTTATACCGCACGCTTCTCGAAACTCGATATCAGAAGAGGGAGAACGCCGTAGGGTCATCTTCTCCTTCCCTTCGGCGCCGGTGATGCAATCGCGTGTATTGTCCGCATACATGTATTTAAATATGCAATGATTCGTGCGGACGCGAACGCGGCGGCGTTATAGTATATACGCATCCGACGCGTCAGTCGTGCCACAGCGTACTGCGGAAAAACTTTTCAAGTTCGTGCACCAGAGCAGCGGAGAATCGGCGGAGAAGTACCCGCGGTGCGCAGTGCTAGTATATCTGTCTCCCCGCATGCAAAGCAGTTTGCAGCGTACCTGTGTGCAATGGCGACATTTATAAGAAATCAACAAGTGCACGGTCTGCAGGTAAAAATGCGTGTGAGAATGGTATATAAACCATTCTCCGGTTCCATTTCATGTGCACGAAAGTATATACGTTTGAAGGACTGAGGAGCTGCGTGATATAAACCGGAACGCATAACTTTTCTCGCACTGGCGAAAAGAATATCACAATTTTTATGTTAGTTTTTCTATATGTAGTTAATAACAATACATTTATCTAAAAGTGTATATTTAAAAAATATATCTACTATATATGTATTTATATATATTTATATGTACATATATATCTACTGTGTCTTAATTTTAATTAGAAAAACCGACTTCGATATTATCACTTGGTTCGTCACTTAATTGATTCACGGTTGTCGCCTCAAAAAATCACAAGATATTACGGCGTTTATTTCATTGCTAGTAGTACCGATAAATACGATCCCGAAGCCTTCATAATCTATAAAAATATTGATAAAGAAAAATATATGTGCATATGTGACTGTATAGAAAAATTATAAGATAAAAAGTTTATCTCTCTCTTGAACGATAATAATATTATTCGCTATGATAAATAACAAGAATATGTAACTACGTTATTATGTGTAAAGGCTTATTAAAGTTAATTTGAGGTATGATTTTTCTTTAATTATTACACATCTTACGTTTGTGAAGCACTCGAAGGACAGAACTGTCATCTTGCCTGCCGTAAGCTTCAATTGCCTTTGAGATCTCAAAATTATGAATAATAAAACACGACTGTCCTTAGTCTTCATATCGTACCAAGCAGAATTGTACGCTGCATTTCCGATCGCTTTGCTCTGTATAAAGATGGAAATAATGAAAATAGAAATTCTATAGCATATTATAACTTTCTATAGCATTAGTTTCAATACCACAAACACTAGATTATCTGTACTACTTTTTTTATAAATTAATTTTTTTTTTATTTTTTAATAATCTCCCGCTGCTGACCTTATTGCTCAGATATTCTCCAGCGAAGCAAAATATAAACGCTTCGAGATTCGTTACAGCGTAAAATAAAAGAGATCTCACTATTTGTTCAGTGGCGTCGGGACTGCCGATTGCCTACAATGTTGAGGCAAAATGGGAGTAAACATATTTACACATGGAAAGTTATAAAGCATTATTTATACGTAACTTTCCATGTGTAAACACGTTTACTTTTATTAATTCATAACAAATCACTATCATACGCAATAAATTAATTAATGTAATGTAATAGACACCACGTAATAAAGAAAAAGCATAAGAAATTATTTAATGCAATTGATTAAAAAAAACTGTATTTTTATATTTGAAATTTTAATAATTACTCACGGTTACAATAAGAAATCCTAATGAGCAAATCATCACCGTATTCGATGCGAATTGCAGCAAAGCGATGTATGAATAGAGACTTTCAATGTTTTCCGAGAGTTTGATAATTTTTTGATGCTTCCGAATGATTTTTGTCATGACAGTGACGAATGAATTATGCTTTTCCTCGACGTCTTTCAATCCAAGTTCCATCAACCAGGACAGCAGGATGTTCATTTGACCGCCCACGTGTAGAGTCTACAAATGAAGGTTCTGTCATTTATGACATTTCTGACAATAATTTGTGATCACAATTATTTATTCTACCTTTTAAAAAAACAGGAATATTATTATGAAAAATGAATTTGATAAAGTGCGAATTAGACCTCATAAAATAGATATTCAATTCTCGAATTTATTATTATTATTATTATTATTATTATTATTCATATTTACAGCCTAATATTTGTACAGATGATTTGCGTGGTGGGCTATTAATTGTAAATATAATCATATTTTGCTTATAATACTTGCTCGTGTAGGTGCAGGTTACCAGAGTTAGGAACAGAGCGTTGAATAAACCAGCTCCCCAACTGCACACCATCACGAAAACGAACTGCGTAGCTAATACCAGGCTATACTTGCGTTGCGTGTCTATGACGAAGGGATATTCCATTTTCATCATGAGAGGTAGTTCAGCCGTTCGATCGGTGACGTCGGCATCGGCCAGGAGGATGCCGATGACGTATGCGAACGCGGCGATTGTATGGAGGATAATTAATCCATTACAAATACGGCTCGACAATTTCGTTTTCCTTGCCGTTTCGCGCAACGCAACGTCACTGCTACCGCAATCGTTCCAATCTTCCGCCATCATCGTCAAGATTTCGACGAATTTTCTACAAACGATCGAATATTTCGAGATAATCGCAGCGTGTTTTCACAACGTTATACTTTCCACCTTCTTTGCGAAGTTTTTAATTGTTCGATTAATCAATTCGTCGCTTACCGCTGCTTCAACGAGAAGATAATGAGCTTAACGGTCAGTTTCACATGCGCCAAGAAGCTACTCAGACCGTCCATCAGGTCGAAAAGATTGTCCAAGTGAAAATGCGTTATAAAGTACAAGTAGTGGAAGAATTCGTCAATTGCTAGCGTAATCATCCAAAACGCTCTGTAGATTATAACGCATGATATACCTGGCCAGACACCAAACATGGTGAGCATAAGTTCTACCGTGCGGTTGATCGTACGTTTACTCCCCATAATTCTTCTCGTCTTTCTCCGCTATTGTCTATGTACAAGTCAGAGCGTCAAAATCTAGGGATACTCTCGTACAAAAAACATGTATGCTCCCGCTGAAGCTATACTATCCAACCACGGCTCGATGTACGTCGTGGAAAATTTGCGTGAAGACTGGGAAGGATTCTAGGAGCGTCGCGAAGCGAATAGCAGCCTGGGGGCGACTGGCCAATGGCAGTTGCTCATTAAATATTTTTTATCTTATTGCGTGCACATCACGAAGAAGTAGCCTCTTGTAATTTAAAGAAAAAAAAAAGAGGGAGCGGACAGAATCTTGCGTTCCCTCCAGCGCCTGCGATGCGCATAATTTGCTTAAATATGTAATGATCTATACGCAGTGATGTGTATACATCTCCGCTGGCAAGTCGCATTCAGCGATCTTTGGAAAAGTCTTAAGATCTAGAGAAAAAAAGAGAGAGAGATTCCGAGGGGAAAAAATAAAGAAATCGGTCAGGTAATTGCGCACGAAATGTCATTTAACTGGTAAATTATCATAAAATCGTAACTTCTTGCGGACAATCACCATTGGGGAAAGAAAAGCGCTCGTCGAAAGACATCTTTTATGTGAGACAGTGCGCATTCGCGACTTATTCTCTTTAATAATTCAGAGCACCATGAAACATCGTAGACAGTACGCAATTGCACGTCAAAATTAAATTTGCATTGAAGTCCCAATAACAATAAAATATGAAGCACAAAGTGTGTCGGAGAAAATATTTAAAATTATTAGGTATCGTACTGTGAATTACTTGTATATGATTCTTCGAGCCCTGTAATCTATTCTTCTCAGGTAAATGAAGAGAATTTTAATCAATATTAATCTTACAAACAATTAATTTGATGCATTTTGAATTACTGATTTGCGCACATATATAATAATATAAATGCGTTTGCACTTATTTAAGAAATAAAAGTAAAAGGAATATTACATTGATAATTGAATATTACAGTGATATAGTTACAGTGAAATGCAATCTTTACTCGATACGTGCATATTTGTGTATATGTAATAATCAGATTTAACACACACTTATAAGTTACTACTATATTATAATTATGTTAAAACATTCGCATTTTTGTCTTCAATATACCGCTAGCATAACTGACATGTAAGATGCTGAAGCTTTTATAATCTATAACAATGTTATGCATTCGTTATTAAATTGATATATGAAAATACAAGCAATGTTAGAGTAGAAGAGATGTGAGATGTCATTTCTTTATTATAAAAACGGCAGTATTATAAATAGTAGATGTAGGATTTTGTGTGTGGTGCGCGCGCGCGCGCGTGAATGCTATATCAGATTTTTAAGAAGGTAATTAATTTTTAGTCTAACAAAATATTTCGACAGTATTCTTACACTGACAAATCGTTCAATGGAAAGATCCATGAATTTCCCAGCTGTAATCGTCAATTGATTTTGCGATCTCATTATCAAGAACAGGATAATTCGACTGTCTTGAAATCTGCATTGGTACCAATGGGAATCATACGCAGCATCTCCGATTGCTCTGCTCTATATACCGTGAGTTAAGAAGAGAGAAAAATCAACAGTTTACTTATCAATAATTGAATATGCCGTGGATGTTAATATTAACCTTAGCGCTTAAATATTCACCGGCGAAACAAAACATGAATACCTCAGAATTCATTATAAAGTAAAATCCAAGGCACTTCATTATAATCGTAGCAGCATCGGGCCTTCCAATTGACTGGGATATTAAAAATAATACTTTTTGTAACAATGGCAATATTAAAATAATTAATATCAGCATTGTCGATCACAAGTAAAATTATATAAATTAATCATCCATAAACATCCGTTTTATTAAAATTTCTTTTCCACTAAATTATTGATTTTTCAGCGATAGACTTCATCAGGATTACTTACCGTAACGAGTACAAAACCGATGGAACAGATGATCAAAGTGTCTGACACAAATAGGATTAACGCAATGTCGGAATATAAATTTTCGATGTTTTTCGAAAAGGCAATAATGCTCTGATGTTTTTCAATTATTTTCTTTAACATTGTTACACTTAGTCTGTATCCGTCTTTCTTTGAAACGATCTCTGTCAACCATATACCGAGAATCTCCATTTGGCCAGTTAAATGCAGTACCTGAAAGATTTCAAAAGTTCGATTTTATCTCGATGTCTTTTGTAATCACACTAATTATATATATAATACGTGGTGACATTGCGTTGCATTAATTTGTGTGTGTGTGTGTGTGTTTGTGTGTGTGTGTAGAGACGTCACAATTAAAAATTTTTGAAACAAAACATTTCAAGTCACTCACCAAGCCAACAAGGAGAACGTTTATCATGACGACGGCGCTGCCAGCGAGCACTGTGCCGCATAATTGTATGACCAATATCAATCCGTAAACAAATCGTGTATCACTATTAAACGGGAAATCCATCTTTATAATGAGCGGTCGCATAGATATGTCAGTCTCTTCTAGATTACTTGTGTCAATAGTGAAAATGCTAGCGATGTACAGCGTTATGGCTATCAAAAAGATGCCGAAAACGAATTTAGCGAAATTATGCGACAGAATGGCTTTGCTTATTATCACACGCGCGCAAAAATTGTCACCGCTATTTCTCTTCCAGTCTATCTCCATCGCCGTCAATATCTTATCGAATGTTCTACGAGCGATTTTATGAAATTATCACATTAATAGCAGAGAGGAATTTTAATTTCTTAGAGCTTATACACATATGTAGGAATTTATATAACATTGTCTGTGTGTGTGTGTGTGTGTATGTGTGTGACGTAAAATGCACATATTATGTAATTAAAAATAATATAATGCCTTTGCATGAGAATATTATTATCTTTGCAGCGTTCAAATTACATCTATTGCACATCTCACCGTTGATTAAGCCAGAAAATGATGAGTTTCGAAAAAAATTGGCTAAAACTCAAGGCTGCACTAAAGCCGTCCATCAGATCGGAAAGATCGACAGTGTGAAAGTGCATGATAATATACCGATATTGAAAAGATTGAGCTGACACGAGTGCAATCGTCCAAAACAGCCTGCAGAATGGACTGTACGGCCAGCCCGGCCAGACACCAAAAATGCGAAGCGGAATTTTTACGGATCGGCTGATGGTGCTTGTAGGTATTTGTTCCATATTCCTTTCGTTTCCACCCTTCTATATCCGTTCACTGTCTTCTCTCTTCTTTTACAGGAAAAGAATATATTATATAACTTGTATTGCAGCGCTAAAGAGTCGATTGAATCGTACAGTGTGTAAAACTGAGCACCTTTGTACGAACTGGAGAGCTTCCAAGTGAAGGCAAAACGAACGAACACATTCTGGTCTCCTCGAAATCATTAAATATTAGTGTCCGCGTTTAAATTACATATGCAATTGCTTTTTCTTGTGCTGCTCGTAACGATCGTAAGGAGAGGAAAGAAAATGCGAAAAGCGTATCCCTTAAATCGATGACCCTAACAGACTGATGCAGCAATGAGCGATTTGCTTTAAAAATTCAAGCGAACGTAGGTGTGCAACACGCGAACGCACATCGAATGTTAAATTCATAGCGGTGATCGTAAGAAAAAATTTTCAGTCTGCGTGGAAATCGTATATGTTTCGGAGAAAACCAAGTGTACCCGTCGTGTGGTCACGGTTATACGCTCTCACGGTTACAGATAAACCAGAAAACAAAAGAAAAATAGAAGAGAAGAAAGGAAAATTTACAACTCGGGCGAATCTTTATCCTCCTTCCCTCCCTCTGTTTGTCGCTTCCTGGAACGTATAGTAACAAAGTAATGCAGTTAAAATGCAAGACGCTGTGCGCGCAGAAAGTGTATAAAGTCGGAATGGAAATCGATGGGACTCGAAACAGGGAGAATAATGAGCGAGCACGAGAGAAAGAGAGAAAAAGAGAATAAAACCAAAAGAGTAAGCTCACTTGGTTCGACTTCATTTAACACAATTTTACGTATTTCGAGTTATTGATTTTCCTTCCGAGTTTATTCTGACTTTTGACGAAAGCGCACGTGCAGGCACATTGATAAGCGACAGAGCGGTGAGTAATATCGAAACAAACATGTTCATTAGTTTTAATTTTTTTTTGTATGTAGTTTCAATTTTCTACAATTATAAGTTTATTTTTTACGCTCATTAAAAACGCGATATACAAAATCTCGTTTCACCTCGACAGAACAAAAGCACAGAATCGTGATAGGGCGGCCAAATCTTACAATTTGTAACAACGTTCCTGATGATATGCTAACATAAAAAAATAATTGAAATTATAATAAATAAAATCAGTAGTGCTGTGAAATATGATTATTCATAATGTTTTATCATCGAAAAGTGAATGCGATTACGAATGATAAAAGAATGTAGAATTCGGGTTAATGGAAGGGAAGAAAGACAGAGTGTGCATGCAAGGTTAAAACAGAAAATAAGAATGAAAGAATCGAGGTACAACAGGGTATTAAGAACAATGGGAATGCTGAGATATTTGAGGGTAAGAATAAGTTGTAGAGAGTGAAATGCAAGCGTTGGAGAATGAAAAAAGAAAGGGAACAATGGAGAGAAGAAACACAGGCTACATGTGGAAAAAAGACTAAGAGGTATAGAAGTATGTGGATGAGTGATGGGGGGAAAAGGACAAAAAGTAAAGAGAGAAATTACGCTAAAGATATAGATGGATGAGAGAACCAGGAAAAAATTGTAACAGAATAAATATTTAAGGTGTGTCGGGAAAAATAAATAATTAAAAATAAAATAGAATATAGAATATAGAATAGTATAAATATGTATGTTTTCTTTTCATGTGAGCGCGTGAGCGTGAAATGTGCGGAATGATGATAAAAATAGTGAAAGAGAAGACAGATCATAAAATACATAGAATTAAAAGCACACAAATATTATTTCTTTCAATCAATTTCTAAATATTGACAATATTTCACAATTAAATAACTATAATTAATCCTCTTTTCAGGACGTGAACAGCAGAACAAATACGTAGAGCTCCGATTGCTTTCACACAATCTGTAACAATAATCATGGAGAAGGATAAAGAGGGTAAAGATACTTTTAAAAATACAATAAATACAATGGAGTTTTCTTCAGCTTACACTGGTAAAACGTTCCAATGAGAGATTCATAACTTTTTCAATTGTAACTGTTAATCGTTTTTAGATCTCAATTAGAAATGTTATCATTCAACTCTCGTGCATTTTGTGCCAAAGAGTTTCGTAAGCCGCGTCCTATATGCTGACTCTGAAAACCGAATAAAACAGAAAAGCCTTTCTAATTATCTTACTATTATAAACACAATTTACATGTTACGTAAAACATGACAAAAGAATTAAAGCTGTAAAAAAGTTGTTTGTATGCATAACAAAAATCAATCGTCATTAATTCCTACGTGAATACAGTCGTTAAATCAGTTTAAATATAAATGTCTAAATATTTTATGCTTTGTTGAAACTCAAGTTTACAGGGCAGGGCATTTATATATTAATTAAATGCCACCCATTGCCAAGATGCCAAGATGAAATGTTATATTCATCGATGACATTAAAATGGATTACGAAATCGAGTTATTCAGTTAACATTATACGCTGACCTTTGTACTCATTAACTGATATTCCCGGAAATGCAAAAACTGAACGCGTCGAGGTTCGTAACGATGTGAAACAGTAGAGTTTTTACCTAACATAATGGAAACGTCTGGACCGTTTATTAACTGCAACATCATTTGCATTAATATTCTTTACATCCTATTCGCACCTTTATCCTGCAAACTAATCAATTACTACGATTTTCTAAAAACAATATCCCTTTCCTTTTAATATTATTATGGTAAATAGTTTCATCAAATACATTATTGTCTAATGTAGTGTCGAAACACTTTTCCCATTTAAAATTCAAATTAGTTATTAAGCTTTTCAACATTTTAGTTGTATTATTAATATTACAACTAAACATTACATTTTAGTTGTATTATTAATATTACAACTAAGTTTAGTTTTTACTACATTCAGTCAAAACTATTTCTAGATATTTTCCAACAGCTTTGTAAATATTGTATCTTTGCAGCTGTTAAAAGTCGTGGAATTATTGATAAGAATTAATTTCTCATTCATTTTATTCACGGTAACGATAACATATTCTATGGAGTAAATGATCAGAGTGTTCGATATAAATAATATCAGCGCGATATAATAGAAACTCTCGACATTTTCTATATACAAAATGATCTGATGTTTTCCTGTCAGATTAATTGATAGCTATTAAATTGTGCACACTCTTTCTGGATAAAACTAATTTTGTCAACTAATCATGTATAAGATATCAATTTGATCACCAACAAAATACCTAAAAATATCTAAAAATTACATCAACGAAGCGAAAATAACTATTGAGGTAAACTTTATAACGTTCTATATAAATAACTATCGGAAAACTGAGGCACATACGCATGTACAAGTATTAATTGAGCTGGAAGAAAGATATATAAGTAAAAATCTTTTGATAAAAAAATCATTTTTATTTTATTTTGTACATGATTTTAGAATATTATTTAGTTAATAAATAAAAAGATAAAAGATTTTTAAATTATTATAAGTCAAAACAAGAAAAATTGACTTATGTTTCTTTCCTCTTTCACATCGTTTCAATTATGGTAATAAATCATTTTGAATTAATGTAATGTTATTTTAAACAACATAAACTTTAGCTTCAAAAATTGACCATAAAGTTTTATCTATATCCTATAGTTATCGAGAATTTATGATCGGAAGCATATTACTTTCACGTAAAATCATCTCGAAATTCAGCAATAAATCTTAGGACTTACCAACGTCATGATTAAACCGCTTATCACGTCCATCGCGCACGCTTATGTTAATAGGTGAAAAAAATTGCGCGATCATTACGAGCTCGTGGCACGGGTGTTGTTGTCGACAGGAAATTCCAATCTCCAGGATAAATGCACGAACAGGAGCAATTGATGTATTAAAGTTATCACTCTCGGTATTAGACAAAATTACGTCGACACTATAGGTCACTACGGCGGCCATGTGAAGGCCGATAATTGCATTCGAAACGCGATGTGATAGATTATCCATGTTCGTCATCATGTGCATGCTGCATTTTTTCCGTTTTCTTTTCCATCTGCGATTTCTAGATTCTCGAAGAAATGAATTTTGAATATAATAAAACAACAATTTAAAAAATTTAATTTAATTAATTCATTAATATAGGCATTAATGTATTAATTAAATTTATTCACAAAGAGTTTTTCTATTCATTTTAATTTTCAATTGTTTAAATATTTAATATTTGATACCTGTATTGCATGAAAAAAAGCGATTTAGAAGAATAAGAACAAGCTAACTCATCGTTAATAAGTTTAGAAAGATAATCACAGTTCGAAGAGTAGCAGACTATACGCTAACGAGCTGCTCAAATTATCCATCAAATCCGTCCTCTCATCGATGCGGTAATGCAATACGATATAAGCATATTGACAAATTTGAACGATAATTAATGTCGCGAATCAGAACAATTTACGTAAAATAATGCACAACACGTATGTCTGATCGGACGTCAAATGCCGAATGTAGGTACATAGAATTAATTTTACAGAGAAGCATATCGTGCCCGTAGCAGGTATTTTCGTAATTGCGAGAAACAAATTTCTCTATCAATGATTTACAAAACATCGAACACACACACAAACACACACAGGTGTGTGTTTCCTTGATGGAAGAGTATCACGAAATAGCTCGCTAAACATAAAAGCGCATTGCAATTAATCGGGAACAATTAATCAATAAATATTCTCATAATATCAAAATACCAAACATAAGATGCTCAAATATAATTATAAATTTCCGATTACGAAATTGTAGAGAGAAACAGAGAGTTTACAGAATTTAATCGCTCGTTTTGTCCCTTTCTTCTCCTGCTCCTTCTCTCTCTCTCTCTCTTTCTCTCTCTCTCTCTCTCTCTCTCTCTCTCTCTCTCTCTCGACAGGATAACAAGAATTATGAGACTTAAAAATGCAAGACGCTGTGCGCGCAGCAAGTGTATAATGTTCGAATGGAAGTTCCATGGAAAAATAAAGGAAAAATTGTCGAGACTCGCAAATTGTGGAGCCAACAATGCCAGGCGAGAGGGAAAAGCAGCATGGGGTTGCATTGTTCGACCTCATTTAATAAACATTGCGTATCTCGAGTTATCGATTTACCGCCTGGCAGTCCCGAGTTTATTCTTACTCACGACCGAAACGCATATACTCGTGCAAGTGTAGTGCAACACACATGAATTAGGAGAATGGTAAATAATACTGCAACGATTTCCGTTACTTTTAATTTAAGTGCAAATATGTTTTTGTAATTAAATAATAACCAGTTGTTAACGCTCATTAGAAATTCAATATTAATAAAACGTAGTTCGAGATCACTACATTGCAAGTAGGACCGATATGTAGGACGCTGAAGCTCTGATAATCTGTAAGAAAAAAAAAAATTATTGGATTATAAAATTATCGATGCAAAAATTATGAATATTTAAATTCAATACATGTAAAAATCATTTATTTGTCATTTGTTTTTTTATTTTTTTCGTGTTTCCAGTATGTTATTTCGTTTTAACAGCATATAACATGTACCTAATATGTAATATGTATTATGTAACAATAATACATAACATTTAATAATATATATAACATATGTATACAATATATAATATATAGCAACAAATACTACTTGCTATTGAAACAAATGTGTAAAATACAAATACCGAATAAAAAATATATATATATAAATTAATTAATGATAACATTTTATTTATATTTGAAGAAACGATAAAATACTTTTTTAATATAGATAATTATTTGCAAAATTATCTGTAGCATAAAATTTGTGCTAAAAACTTTTGCGCGTATAAAGCAAATCTCAGACAAACTTACTCTATTAAATCGCCCCAAAGATAAATTCATTATCTTTCCAATTGTAATGGTTAATTGATTTTGCGACCTCATTATCAAGAACAATATAATTCGACTGTCTCTGGAATCTGATTCGTACCAGAGGGAATCGTAGGCAGCATCTCCGATACTTTTGCTCTATTGAATAATGGATGCAGCTTTTAAAAGCAATTACGTAATATATAGTCCGTTTATTTATCATAAACAATATATTCGTCCCAATGTTTAACCTTAGAACTCAAGTATTCTCCAGCGAAACAAAATACGAATGCCTCCATATTCATAACGAGATAAAATAAGACAAGCCTAATTATATTTTTTGTAGCATCAGGTTGACCGATCGACTGGAATATTAAGAAACGTCTTAAGAACATCCTAAGAACAATGGAAAAGTGATAAAGTGATGAATAATTAAAGGCACGAATTAATGCTCTTCCATTCTGCAAATTTAATAGCGGTTCCTATATACATATAATATATATTTTCTTTATACATATATAATATATAGCCTCTTTAATGTAGAATTAATTAAAATTATAATACTTACCGAGACAATAGTAAAACCTAAGCAGCAGATAATCAGGGTATCCGATACGAACAGCACCATCGCAATAAACGAATACAGGTCTTCGATGTGCTCTGAGAAGACGATGATTTTCTGATGTTCCTGGATTACTTTTCTTACCGTAAAATGACTCGGACTGCGCTTTCCTTTCTTCGGAAAAAATTCTATCAAACTCTCACGAAGAATATCGATTTGACCGCCTATATGCAGTATCTAAAATATACGTTCCTTTCAATTGCCATGCTTAAGAGAGATTGTAAAAAAAAACCTCAATGCATAGATAAAAAAATATGCTGCACAAGATCTTTTAAAATCCGAAAATCAGCGTAGCAGTCAAAGAAGTCAAAACTGCTAATGAATTATTTTTGATAATATAAATACATGTGTAGATTCCAATCATTTAATAAATTAATAAACTATCAAAAATTTAATTTTTATAAATAATAATAATAATAATAATAATATATTTTTGCAAAACAGGACTCACCAGATTTATAAGGAGGGCATTCAGTAAACCGATTGCCTCAGCACTCAATATCAAATGAAGAAATTGAGCAATTACGATCGATTCGTATACGAATCTTTGGTTAATGTCAAATGGCAAATCCATCTCTAGAATGAGCAGCCGTGTGGAAACGTTGGAAGCTTTGCCGTCATCCGCATGTTTTACGAGGACTTTGCTGCTAAAAAGAATTACAGCTGTCGAATAAAGAATCACCGTCGCGTTAGCGAAGCGTTGCGACAGTTTGGCATTGTACGTCGTCGCGAACATACTGAATTTCGTACTGGAACACTTTTCCCAGTCGATCGCTATCATCGTTAGTATCCTGTTGAACGTTCTACGAACGGTTTTCATTGGTCATAATCGTGATAACGGCCGCAACGAAGTGTTATGCGGACCATCGATGAAAAATTTATCATTGCGCAATTATAACTTTATCAATTCGTGTCCACTCATTTCCTCGTTGCAATAATTAATTTATTACAGCCATTTGTCTTCAATTTAGCTTTGTTTGCGTTTGCAATTGCCAAATAATTTATATTACCGCTTTGGTCGATAAAATAAATTATTTGGCAATTGTTGAATCGAGATGTAATACTAAATTTATATAACTCATTTAATACCGCAAAATAGTAATTAAATATAATTAAATGAATGATTTTTAAAACAAATTTTTCACTGATAGCGTGTATCGCTTTGTGTCTCACCGCTGTTTACACCAAAAGATGACGAGTTTAATTAAAAATATTGTGTACGCCATTGTTGCACCCACAAGATCCATCATTTCGGAGAGCCGGATCAAATGGAAATGCGATACAATATATCGGTATTGTAAAATTTGCTCAATTACGAGTGAGACAATCCAGAACAGTCTACGTAACAAAACATACGACGTATTCGGCCAGATGCCAAAAATCCGAAGCAAAATTTCTATCGCTTGACTAACAGTATTTTTTACTTTCATATTTCTATTATTATTATTCCCTTATTAATTTGCACCTTATTTTTTTTTTAAACATGTATCAATTCCGACAAGAGAGTTTTATGCGGTGTAACGAAAAACACTTTGATCGATCGTACGACGTGCACAATATAATGTCTCTGTACAAACTGAGAGCTTGAAAGAGAACACGAGTGTAGGGTACCCTCCCACGAGCCGCGGCTTATTAAATATTTTGATCGCAACGTGCACAGATTGCGTGCACTATTCCGTATTTGTCGATAAAAAAAAAAGAAGTTTCCGGGTGGCCGACCCTCGCCCTCTCGAATTCTCGGATGGTGTAGCGCGCAGTGCGTTATTTTCTTTAAAAATTCAAGCAACTGCAGATAGCAACACGCGACGTATACAGAACGCTAAACCGTGCTCGGTGACCGTAAGAAAAGTTTTGTATTTCTGTGAATATAAGGGAGAATTTTTTGAGGAAGAGGGAAGATATAGAAGGACACGAAAGTTTTTCTTCTCTATGAGATTTCCTCAATATTGAAGGATATTCTTCCTCGTGCATTACAGTAAGTGCTGCTAGTGTATATACATATAACACGTTTGCAACTTAGTCTCCTAAAATATGTAAATCGCGTGATTTTGGATGAAACTCTGGTCGTCAGATACAGGTTGCGTGCAATAATCGTGAAAAAGTTAGCCTGAAGTAGGAAAAACAAAGTTCTGAGTGAAGTTTTACATTTCAGTAATAACAGCGTTCCTCGCAAACGACAAAATATAAGCTCCAATTAAAGAACATTATGAAATGCAAAGGGCTTATGTTAATCTTTCAGGAAAGACTGTTTCATAGACATTATAATATCGTTTAAACATCATGAATGTCTAAAATAATATCTGATTATACGAGATCTGATTATATGAGAAGAGCATTATTTGTTAGGTAATTATACATGTCAATGTTTTATGTTACGTTTTAAAAAGACAAAATTGATTTAATTATATTAGAAATATAAATGCAACATTATTTGAAGAAAGTACCAAATTAAATAAGAATAATAATAATTTGTTTTTAATACTGTTATTACTAAGAACTTTTTATTACTCATCTTATGATTTTATATTATTACTTGCTTATATTATTACTTCCAAACTATAATGTTCGTGGCATTATCATGTTCTTATCGAGATTGAGTTTAATATTCAGTACATCGCTAATAGAATCGAAATATATGATGCCATTACCCTCACAATCTATAATATTAATCTATAGTGACGTATAATAAATGCATAATATTTAATATTAATGTTCACTTAGTTAAACAGCATTTAACTTTAAAAATTAAATTGTTTTCTTTCTAATGTATAATCATTCCATAAGTAATATATAAACTTTAATGTCAATTAAAAAAAATTTTTTAATGCTATTTGTGAACATGAAAAACATGTTTAAAAAGTCTGCAAAACTTATGACGCAGAAATCTTACGCTAATAAACCGCCTGGTATTCCGACCAAACATACACAAGTGTGTTACGTACATGGAAGAAAATGGTAAGTATAACGAATTTCGTCGCTTTTAATTTATGCAAATTTTATTGCAACTGAACTATAACAAACTACCAACTGTTAATGTCTTAGTAGAAAATTTGATGTAAATGTAATGTAATTTCGCCTCAATACATTGCAAGTAAGACCGATATATAAGAGACTGAAGCTTTTAAAATCTGTAAAAATATTATTTAATTGTTAAAACAATATCAATGTAAAATGAATATTTAAATTCAATGCTCATATAAAAATTTGTTTGTCACTTGACTTATTTGTGAATGATGATAAGTGAATACTGCAATTAATATTATATGATATTTGAAACAAGTATACATAAATATTAATATTGAATACAAAATATATATGTATATTATTAAAATAAATTGATAATTGTATTAATATTTAAAAAAAACAGCACACCTCCTTTTCTTTTTGTTATGTTTTACTTATTGTAGATAATTATTTGCTAAATAATCTATAATGTAAAATCAATGAAAAGTTTTACGTATACAAAGCAAGCCTAAGACAAACTTACAGCACTAAATCGTTCCAAAGACAAATTCATTATCTTTCCAATTGTAATGGTTAATTGATTTTGCGACCTCATTATCAACAACAATATAATTCGACTGTTTGAGAAATCTGATTCGTACCAGAGGGATGCGTAGGCAGCATCTCCG